CTTATTTGCGAATTGACACTCCAGAGGTTGGTATTCTAGTGTTCAGTTTAGCAGGTTTAGTAAAGACCCGCTAAATCAAATGCTGAGGGTACCCGCCCACCCCCCGGTTGATGCTGATATCCCTCTCAATGAGTAAGGGAAGTCAACAGGAGCATTTCTCCTGTTGAACTCCTGCAATGGGGATGGCTCCAAGTTCGAATCAAGGTACGTCGACTAGGGAAGTAAGCGACTTGTCAACTACTCAGTAAGCATAAGCTTATTGGATAGTCGAGTAGTCACTTGACCAGTTGCTTCTCCCCCCCCACCCTCCCTTGCTGCTTCTATCAGAGAGAGGCAGCAAGTGGGGGGAGCAGGAGCCAGTGCACTGTCTCTGTGGAGGTATCCCTGCTGCTGCGCCTCTCATTGAAATGTACAAATGCAGGCGGCTCTTGAATATTTCAAAGGGAGAGGTGCAATGGGATGGCAAGCACCCCCTTTATCGACTAGTCGATGGAAATTCCATCGACTAGTCGATTATTTGATTAATTGAAATGTATTATCCCTAACGTCAACTTCAGCTATACAATTAATGCAACTGGAGTTGCATATCTTAATTTGAACTTATCCCCTACTATAGACCATGCCTAAGGAATGAGAAGAGAAGTAGGTATGGGGAAGGGGCATTTTGCAGTGCAGTGAATAGAAAATATGTAAATTCACAAGTATAAAAGCAAGAAGAGATCTGAATTTTCTGCTTTCTAAGTTCAAAGATTGTATGTACCTGAGTGACAGACGCTTCCCTTGGATTGTACTTACCAAAAAACCCAAACCCAGTACTTCCATTACATGGAAAAGTTCCATGGTAAATGAGGAATGCCCAGATAAGCACTTGTTAATTGTTTTCGTGAGTTACTTGCAGATCCTGTCTGGTTGCTGTTGCAATGCCAGCAGATCTCATCAGGATTTATACTAAGCAGTACACAAAAATCCCCTTTTGCCTCTACTCCTCTGCTCATTGGAGGAGGCAACATGCTAATTTCTTAAGTGATCAGCATTTCCCTTTGTTTGGGTGTGGTAGAGGGGTGAATGCCAGCAAAACCTTCTGGTTGCCTATACTGAATAAAATAGAATTCCCATGCTGGAGAGCAGCAATCCATGAATTAGAATGAGTGATCACAATCTGTCACGGACATTGACATCAAACTTTCTTTTAACCTAAAGTATCTCTAGTGCGGCTGCGTATAAAGTTGGACTTGTAGTAGCAATATGCAGCTGCGGAAGTTTGTGGAGATATTTGTACCTCATAATTCAAGGTGAAAGTTTCACTGAAGCTTCATTCCAATGAAGCAGCAGTTTTTGTCTGGTGTTTGTGCCTAGGCTACTGTGAGCCCTCGGATGTCCTTGGATTCATTATTGAAACCAGCTTGCTTCTTGTTTATTGGATACCTTCAGCAAACTCCATGGCCCATGATCCGCTGTCAGTTACAACTGTGCGGTACCACTGAAGCCACTAGAGTTGCACCAAGCTAAGCAAAAGAAGAATTTGTTGTCAAATATCCTATTCCAATAATATATTAGTTCTCCTGTAAATCACTGGGTAGATGCCTTGAGGATTAATTTTAATATGTTTCAAAGTCCAGGTGTGGCACACTAAGGGTATCTTTTTTCGAACTTTATCCTAAATTTATCTTCTTCTGCCTGGTTCACCTGATGAATTTGATTTTTTTTTAATACCTCTTTTTCACTGCAGTGTTTCTTTCTTCTCCACAGGCCTGGTGTGATCACCATGCAAGCACTTTCTGAAGAGGACAGAAGGCTTTGGATGGAGGCTATGGATGGCCGGGAACCGGTAAGCAGGGACGCTAATGAATAACTGTTGAGAAGAATCAAAAGGCTTTTTTTCATGGCCTGAGGCAGATTGTCTGCTGTGAAGCATGTCACACTGAGCCTGCCAACCTCCATGAGAACTGTATCTGTGGGGCAGTTCTCTGGTTCGGCACAAGAATGATTTAATCCTTAATGCTGTGTTACCAGTGCATGGATGGCTTGAAGGCTCTGGCTAATTTTTTCTCCTGTGGACCGTTGGTAGGCTAAACTAGCTCAAATATGCTCCTGTGCTTCCGGGTTGTATTAACAGGAGAGCACAGCAACAAGAGAAAAGGAAGAACATGCAGCATGTGATTTGCAGGGCTTTCTGGAACCTGCTGGGCTCTGTTTCACTGTTTCAGTAAGAGGGCTTCACCTCCTTCATCAGCAGCAAGAAT